CCCCGGAGGAGACTGCTGAGGTCTCCGGAGCAGAGGCTAAACCTTGCTCGGAGCTGTGGGTCTTGAGCCGTCAGGTGCCTTTGCTGTCACAGTGCCTCCCTACCTTTTTGGTATTGTTCCTCTCTCCCCTTACCCCTGCCATGGAGGAAACGTTTTTCCTGATTACTCCCACTGATGACACTTTAATACCACATATAAATGGTATGTGTGTTTACATACTGTACTTTTATACATAAAAAGAGTAAGCTTTTTTACCCCTCCCCCCAAGAATCAAGGGCAATATCACCCTTGTTGAGAAGGCGCGTGCTGTTGGGAGGGGAGCTGAGGCAGAGTGGCCCTCAGTTCCCTCACCTGTCCAGTCTGGACCATAATGATGCCGACCTCCCAGGCTTGTCACGATGAGTGAGGTTCGCACGGCACACAGGTCGGAAAGGCCCTTTCAAGGCCCTAACTGTGCTACTGAATGGCCGGCTGTGTTGTTTCCCTGAAAAGTCAGTATGAGCTGTGGAGTGATGCCCACACCATTGGGTGGGGGATGGGAGAACTCCTGGCTTGGTGGTGGTGGTTGGTTTGTTCATTTTTAGTGTCTAGGTTTCTCTGGCAGACAGACGTTTGGTGTCAATCTCTGAGTGGTGTAGGGTTGGGGGTTGGGTTGCCTGGGGCCGGTGGAGGAGGGAGCCCTGGGCTAACCTGGAAAATGTGGAAGGGCACTTGGTGTGAAAAGGGAAGTGAAAGTAGGTGGAGGAGTACTGTCAACCTGTGTCCTTCTCGAGTCTTCCTCCTGTAAGTTTCCTTATCGCTGCCCCAGATCGGAAGCTCCACTCTTAGCATGAGCGAGCTGTGGATGCCGGCCGTCGAGCGAGATGGGAAGTAGGCACGGAGGGGTGGGCTAGTCACAGTGTAGACGAGGTTCCTAAGAATCGTGACCTGGGAGGGGGCCAGCAGCACAGCCTGGGGCCCTCCCAAGATGCTGGTCCAGTGGGAGTGGGCGGGAGCGGAGTGGGAGGCGAGGAAATGGGGTGGAGAGCGAAGACAGCTCCTGAGGGATGTGACTGAAGGGGGGGAAGAGGGAGTCTTGTGTAGCTGAAGGAGGCGTGGCGTGGGTCCGAGAATTTGCACCTCCTGTGGCTTCCCAGGTGATGCTGATGCTGCTGTTTGGGGACAACACTTTGAGCTAAGTCAGTTGCCACAGGCACACACTCCAGGTAGTTCTTAAAGACCATTGTGATACTTGGCCAGCACGTTGTTTTTGCTGACTCTTTTTTTTTTCCATTTTCTCTTTTATGGAGATATAATTTATCTCTAGAAGAATGCACAGATCTTAAATGTACAGTTAAATTTTGACAAATGCATGCATGTGTGTTACTGTCATATCGAGAGAGAGAATTTCCATTACTGCAGAAAATTCCCTCATGCTCCTTATAGTCAGTCCCTCCCTGCCACCAATCACTGATGGGAGCTTTTGTCACTGAAGAGTTATTTGCCTGGTGACCCCTTATCTTTTTCAAGTTAAAATACTCTAGTGTTATTGGTATGGGTCACATTCATGCAAATGAATGTTGTTATGGTCTTTTGAAAAAGTGTCATCATATTGTGCTTTACAATATCTTGATTCTGGATTTTTTCATTTTTATTTTTCAGAAGAAGAAAAGAAACCCAAGAAACTTCGTAAGTTATGCATTTTTTCTGTTTGTTTCTTGAGACTGCCTGAGCGCAGAACTAAATGCTGGGGGTGAAAGCTGACCTGTCTCATCAGGGTTCTGTGATGGGGCCTCAGTTCGAGGATTATATCCTGGAACAGCAGGCAGGCCTGAGGCTGGAGGTGAGGACAAGCGTAAATGAAAACGATGCGCATAGCCCTGTCTGGGCTCACCTGTGTTGCCCTGGCTGCCCAGGTGTGTGTCTGTAGAAGTGACTCTTGAAAGTCAGCTTTCAAGGAAGGGAGTAGAGGCCATCGGGTCACTCTGTGCATGTCCCCAACACACACTCATCTTTCCTCATTCCCAGCTCCTGTTGTCATCTCACCCAACAAGCTTCCCGTATTTGGAGCCCCGGAACAGTTAGTGGATTTAAAACAAGCTGGCCTGGAGGGTGAGTTATTTTGGACTAGGGGCAGTGGGGTGTCTACTTTGAATTTGTTCTGAAAATGGCTCTCTTTCCTCACCCAGCTTCAGCCAAACCCACTACTGTGCAGCCAAACTCGGTGTCTCTCAAGGCCAAGGTGCTGGAGACTTTCTTAGCCAAGTCCAGACCTGAGCTCCTGGAGTGTGAGTAGCACTTGCAGGCAGCAGCTGTTGCCGAAACCCCATGCTGGTCCCACTGCCAGCTCTCTCGCTCTGGTTTTCCTTTTGACTTCTGCCATTCCGTAACCTTTCCATGTGCCATAGCTTCAGTCTTCTCCCTGTCCCACCCAGCCTCTTCTGCATCACGGAGAAGAGAGACACTCCAGAAGGGGGCTCCCTCATCCTCTCATTGTCGTCTCACTTGGCTCTTTACCTTCTCTCTCCTTCCTTCTCTGTTCGCAGCCCCAAGGCCAGTTCCTTGGCCAGGACTCTGGATCTTACCCCTCTTGCTCTCTCTGGAACTTTGCATTCTCAGGCCTCAGTTATGGATGGATGTATGTATGGGTGGGTGGAAGGAAGGGTGGATGGATGGATGGATGGATGGATGGATGGATGGATGGATGGATGGATGGACTGATGGATGGAGGGGTGGATGGATGGATGGATGGATGGACGGATGGATGGATGGACTGATGGATGGATGGATGGATGGATGGATGGATGGATGGATGGATGGACTGATGGATGGAGAGGTGGATGGATGGATGGATGGACTGATGGGTGGAGGGATGGATGGATGGATGGATGGATGGATGGACTGATGGATGGAGGGAGGGATGGATGGATGGATGGATGGATGGATGGATGGAGGGAGGGAGGGATGGATGGATGGACTGATGGGTGGAGGGATGGATGGGTGGATGGATGGAGGGGTGGATGGATGGATGGACTGATGGATGGAGGGATGGATGGATGGATGGATGGATGGATGGATGGACTGATGGATGGAGGGGTGGATGGATGGATGGGTGAATGAATGGGTGGCTATATGGACGGATGTGTGGATGGAGAGGTGGATTGGTGGATACACGGAAGGAGGGTGGATTGATGGACAGGTAGATGGATGGGCGGATGCATGTATGGATACATGGGTAAATGGATAGACGGGTGGAAGGATGGATGGGAGTGGATAAAACAGATGAATAACACTACCAGTTGAGGAAAGGTTGAAAAGTGAGAGCACCTTGGGCTCCGTGTAATCGATTACTTGGGGTAATGCTTTTTTAGATGCAGTTAAGGTCATCCTGGACTACAACACTGCCTACAGCAAGGTGGCTCTGTCGGAGAACTACACTGTAGCCTCTGTGGCCGACGTTCACCAGAACTACCGGCCACATCCCCAGAGGTTCACGTACTGTTCTCAGGTGCTGGGCCTGCACTGCTACAAGAAGGGGATCCACTACTGGGAGGTGGAGCTGCAGAAGAACAACTTCTGTGGGATGGGCATCTGCTATGGCAGCATGGCGCGGCAGGGCCCCGAGAGCCGGCTGGGCCGCAACAGCGCCTCCTGGTGCGTGGAGTGGTTCAACACCAAGATCTCCGCCTGGCACAACAATGTGGAGAAAATTCTGCCTACCACCAAGGCCACGCGGGTTGGTGTGCTTCTCAACTGTGACCACGGCTTCGTCATTTTCTTCGCTGTTGCTGGTGAGAAGATCCACCTGATGTATAAGTTCAAGGAGGACTTTACTGAAGCTCTGTACCCAGCCTTCTGGGTGTTCTCTGCTGGTGCCACGCTCTCCATCTGCTCCACCAAGTAGGCAGGCCACGGACACTCTGGCCGGCCACCCGTGGAGTGCCAGGACTCTAGTGAAAATGCT